AAAGAATATGTTGCAGGAGTACCGCATTGCGTTGTGGGCTTCACTGTAAGCCACACACACACAAATCTTAGCGTCTGTTTGGAAATTGTGCCCCTGCATTCTTTAAGTTGGATTTCCCTGATTAAGGGGTGCATCTTTCTAATGAGAAAAGGTGAGGAAGAATAGTTGCTTTATAATCCTCATTGTTTTCTACCTCCTTATAATGGTGCATTCCTTCTGGGGACAAGAGCATAGTCCCTTAGGAGGCTGAGAAATACACCTCTGAATTTTTTTAGTGTCTTTCATATGTTAGAATTATTAGGCCAGTAAAGGTATGGGGTAGGAATACGAAGGATTCAACTGCCAAACTCTGGATTTTTTTCCCATTTCCTTTCTCTAATTTTACCAAAGATGTATGCAATATATTGGAATGAGACACAGTTTGGACTTTGGTAGTACATCATTTTGGGGAGGCAACAAGATGTGAAAATTCTGAATGGTGTTAAATAGAAATGTTTCTGAAATGGGATTTCAATTTCGAGCTGTTAATGTTGTCTTATTTACCTTCTAGATAATTAAAAACTTTTTATCTATTAGGATACTTGTTGGAAACGTTGAATTACATTGTGGTCTTATATTCTTCATTAGGACTTAGTTGTAATTAGCTGGCCAGCCAATAAAAATTGAATAATCAAAGAGGACATTCGTGACTAAAAATAATTTGACATATTGGGTACTTTATGAGCTTGTAATGTGTGATAATAAAGAGAAGAACAAAAATATGGAAAATTCATATTTGTGTAGATATCTTTATGCCATCTTTTAAAGTAGAGATGTGATGCGACATATCCTCTAAATAGAATTTTTCAGAAGTGTTCAGCCTTTTGTGTTTCACCACCTTATTTTCTCCTACCTTGTTGAATGACTGTTGGTATCAGTGGCACTCAGTTTAAAGTCATTCTAGCTCTGACGCTGTGTGTTTTTCGAGCCACCTCAGTGGCCCACGCATCTCCATCCTTGCCGCCACAAATGCAGGCTCTCATCACCTGCAGCTGTGGACCACGACGTCCTCCACCTCCAGCTGATCTTGTACACTACTATCAGATTAACTTTCCAGTAGCTTTCAGCACCCCTCTTTCACACTTACAATTCTTCTCGGGGTCTTTATTGTCCACAGGATGAGAGGCAACTTAGGGTCCAAAAATAGCACAAGAAGTGGAATCCTGAGACCTGCTTTTAGGTTACTTGGCCTAGAAACATCATCGTTCATCAACACTCCTCAAATTTACATACGTCTACTAACCATCTCAGCTTCTTCTCCTCTCATGTATATCTTGCCAAAGCCAGTGGTCATACTTTGTCCTCGTATTTTCAGCTCTTAACGGCACCCTCATGCCTTGCTTAATGAAGTGCTTGATTCTCCCAGCTTCCATGACACTACACTCGCCAGGCTTTTCTCTCACCTTGCCTCTCAGTCTCTTTGCTGGCCTTCCCTTAAGAGTTGTAGTCTCCTAGGGCTCTGTCCTAAATCACTTTATCTTCTTTATCTAAACTCTCTAGCAGATACCCATATCACATGGTTTTAGATGTCCTACATATGCTGATAACTTTCAGTGTTATCTCCATGCGTGGGTCTTCCTTAAGTTCTCAGTTTATATAGCACTGCTTCAGGATGTGCACTTGGCTGTCCAATGGATACATCAAAGTTAAAGTAGTCACAGGGGAACTATCAAGGTCCTCCTGCCGCGCTCTGCTCCCCCACCTGACTTTCCCCATGGCAGTAAATGGAACTGCCATGCCCCTGGTGCTCAGCCAGAATTCCAGAATTCATGTCCTCTCTTTGGCCTCGAATTCGGTCCAGGAAGTGCTTTGGCTCTCTCTCCAAAGTAAATGCTGGATAGGAGGTCCTCTGACTGTCTCCTCAGTTGAAGCCACCAGCATCTGGCCTGGTCTGCTGCAAAAGCTCTTATCTAGCTTCCCTGACTCTACACCCCGCAGAGTAGACTATTAAGTGTAAATTATACAATGTGTTCCCTTGCTAAAAATTCGCCAATAGGTTTTCATTACTCTTAGAATAAAGTCCGAGCTATCCCCACTGCCTGCAGGTGTCTCCCTCTCTGAGCACACCTCCCTCCTCATTCCCCTTCCCCTGTTAGGTTCAACCATACTGGCCTTTGTTCCGTTCCTTAAACTTGCTGAGTTGTCCTGTCTTGGTCTTTACACTTACTGTTTTTCCTCTTGGAATTCTTTTAACCCACGTCTTCTCAGGTATGGCTCCTTCTCCTTGTTCAAGTGTCAACTCAAATGTCACTTCTTTTGATGGGCAATCTGTGACCCAAGTTTGAGCAATTCCCTCCCTCTATCCCCAGTTCACCTTTTATCACGTTATTTTCTTCATAGAACTTACCAGAACCTGAAATGACCAATTTAATTGCCTGTGTTTTTGTCAGTCTCTCCCTGCTGTGGGCTCCCTGAGGTCAATGACATTTTGTCACTCACCTGTGCATCTCAGTGCTCATAGAGTAAATAGTGCATAGCATGTCCTTCAAAGTATGTGTGGACTCGTTCACCACCTTGAGCTGGTTTCCCCATCTATAAAACTAAGGTGGCAGGACAGGTGACCTTTGAACCTGTCCTGCCCATGGTAGTTTTAATTCTTACCACATCTCCAGCCCTCCGATGAGTCCTGTTGACTTCCTTAATGTCCTATAAATGGGCTGTGTTTATTCAGGTCTTCAGGCCTTTGCTTTTCATTCTCTTCCCTCCTGAAGGTCCTCTTCCTCCTCTTCCATGCTAGCCTGATTCTTTAAGGATTTTTCTCCTTTTGTCCCCCCCAGAGAGGAAGGTAATTATTTTATGTGTACATATCTCATCTGCCCCACTATATGGGTAGCTCCTAAGCATGGGGCTGTAATAGTATAACTCTCTCTCTCTCTTTTTTTTTTTGGTGAGGAAGATTGTCCCTGAGCTAACATCTGTGGCAATCTTCCTCTATTTTGTATGTGGGACACTGTCACAGCATGGCTTGATGAGCAGTGTGTAGCTCTGCACCCGGGATCTGAAGCCACAAACCCTGGGCCAGCAAAGCGGAACATGTGAACTTAACCACTGTGCCATTGGGCCAGCCCCTGAACTAGAGGCAAAAAAAGAAAAAAAATCTGAAAAAATGGAAATTTAAACTTAGGATGACATGGTATTTTGTAATCCTTTGTAAGCAATCTTACCAAAGAAGTTTTTTATAAAATACATTCATAGGGGCTCGGCCCATGGCGTAGCAGAACGAGAAGGACCTACAGCTAGAGTGTACAGCTATGTACTGAGGGGCTTTGGGGAGAAGAAAGGAAACAAAGGAGGAAGATTGGCAACAGATGTTAGCTCAGGGCCAATCTTTAAAAAAAAAATACATTCATAGATAGTTGCAAAGAGAAATAAAGGGGCATCGCCTTTACGTCAGGTTAAAGCTTGAGTTGGGGATTTAATTTTCGGTCCGTTCAGGTATTTGGAACTTAGAGAAGCTCTATGAGTGTGTCCCACCCACACAGTTTGAATATCCTCTTCCTTCCTATCTTCAGAACAGCTTGGTTCTTTTAATAGCAAATGGCTGAGTGGAGGGGAACCGTTTGTAGTGGGTGAGTGTGAGTACAGCATGTCCTCTTGTTCCAAGCAGAAGTCGTGCTGACTCCTCAGGGATTGGTGCAAAGGTGATTTTGGGGTTCTTTTTGCTGTTGGTCAGATCCTTGGAAATTCAGTATTTTAGAAGGATGTTACTCATTCCTTGTATGAGGAGAATTACTGGTCAACTTAAAAAATTCAGGAGCTAGGGAACACCTCCTTTATTCTTTTTATAAAAATGTTGATTTGTCATCATCCTTTTAGAGGCTGCTCTTAAAATGTCTGTGAGGCTGCGTGTAGTCTTTGTTCTGGGTTGGTCATGACTGTTCAGGGAAGATTTCTGCTTTTTGGAAGAGCTAGTGTTCAGGAAACTCACAGGCTTCTTTCTTCATGGTGAACCTAATGCTGTATGATCACACTTAATTCATTATACACAAATGGGAAATTCGTCCTCATCCAGAGTGGCTGGGAAATGTGTGCTCAAAATTAAAGGTAACCATGTATTCCTTTCCTGGATTAACTGTTTTCAAAGAATTCAGTCAAATACACTTATAGTAGTTTTCTATTGTTAATAATATAAAAGGCAGTTATTGGCCCATGGTAATCATTGTGTACATCAATTAGTGGTGAAGAGTGTTGTCACTCTAAATAATGCCAGTGATTGGATTAATTCTCAGTCTATCTCAAACTTTGCTGTTTTGAATAAACAACTTGTTTTCAAGGCATCCATTTCTTTTGGAAAAGTAGAGAGGAGAAAAAAGTCTGCTTTCATGAATATCTTGTTTGGGGTGAATAGCCATTTCTTTCTACTGAATAGATGGAGAGGCTTTCCCAACAGGTGGCTGTGGTTTTGCATGGGAGAGCTGGGCGAGCACTGGCTGGGTGCGCTGCCGGGTGTCGATGGCAGGTGAATCTTGCCCTGTGTTACTGTGCATCATCCTCATGCTGTGTGTGAGCTGTGCAATGTCTGTAAGAAAGGTTTGCTGTGTAATGCTTTAGGATTGGCATTGCGAATTCCTTCTGTTAGGGGAATACTGCTGATGTGGGAGTTGTGTCCTATGGCTGCTGGTGTGACTTTGTTAGATCCTTGGGAGTTAATACCTATGGAGGCTGGGATTGTGAAGACTTAGAATATAGAGAAACGGTGGATTCGGGGAGCCTCATTCAAAATGAGTGGGAACTATTGGAGTAATACATTGAAAAATGTGAAGTGGGCAATTTATGAACTGTAAGAAACCCAATACTGCATGACATCTTACTTCAACCCTCAAAACTGGCCATAAAAGGGCTAACTTCTGTTGCAGGAAAAGGGTCAATATTTAATTCAGACCTGTGTGTTTAGGTCAATCACAGTATCTCCTTAGTTCTGGTTTGGTAGGATGACTTGGACTTTTTCCTTTTGTTTTTAGGTAACGATGTGAATGCTGCTTAAATGAGGATTGACTCTGATATTCCATGGTTTCCTTCCTGGTGAGCTCGCTGGCTCGCCACCCTCCACACTCATCAGCAGCTGGTGTTTCACCCAGTGGTACTGTGATCTTCACCACCCGTTCACTTGCACAGAAAAAGATGGCATCGATTTATATTTAAAATAAAGTGAGTTTGAAAGGTTTTATGAAATCCCTTCACTTTTGGATCAGTTTTTGCCAGCAGCTGCCTGCATGTAGTTGTTGTTCTCGGTTGGTCGTGACTGGTTAGGAAAGATTGCTGCTTTTTGGAAATGGTTCCAAAGACTCATTGTTCCAGACGTCGGACATCCTCATACTCTTTAGGTCTGACTTTTCAGGTGGTTGGTCTAAAACAGATTAATTACTAAACTCTCAGTGAATAATTAACCATTTGACTTGTTCCCAAGTTATATACTCACTGGGCTAGAAATGATTTCCCAAACAACTGAAGATAAGGGAAGGTTACTCCTGGTTTCACAAGGCCCCCATTGTTGCTGGCTTGGGCGTACGTGTGAGAGAGATCAGCTGATACCTACGCACTGGTCCAGCTTCTCGGTCAAACCACTTCCTGGGGTTTTCTCGGGTAATGGCAGTGATTCAGAAGATACCTCAGCAGTTTTAGAGGATGGTTCCCTGTGTGTTAGTATGGGCCTCAGTGACTGGGAGCTGTCAAATTCAAAAGGAGCGTTTTTATTGCAGTGCCATGAAATCTGTGATTTGCTTTTGCTCGAAGTTGCATTTCAGTGAGTGTTGGGTTGCTTGCCTGTGTGTTTTCAAAAATATATATATATATATATTTTATTAAGGTTATGAAAGTTAACATCCTTGTGAAATTACAGTTGTACATCATTATTAGTCATGTTGTGGGTACACCACTTCACCCCTAGTGCCCTACCCCCACCCCCCTTTCCCCTGGTAACCACCCATCAGTTCTCTTTGTCCATATGTTAACTACCACCTATGAGTGGAGTCATACAGAGTTCGTCTTTCTCTGTCTGGCTTATTTCACTCAACATAATACCCTCAAGGCAACAGTATATTTTTAAGACCATTTATTTTGTAGTAGTGGGCTGACAGCCTAATTTCCATCAATTAAGCGATCCATGCCTTCGCTGAGTCTCAACCGTGTACAAAGTCCTCTGTTAGGCCCTGGGGGACAGACAAAGGGCAGTCATTTTTGTCTGCCTTCAAGAGGTAGTAGTAACTGGGGAGATGAGAGATCAAATTGAAAGGGACCTAATCAGGTGTTAAGGTAAACATATGCAGCTGTACTAATTTATAAATACATATTTCTGTGATTTTAGTTTCTGAATCTATTCACAGTGTATGTTCCATAAGGTAAAATTTGTATTTTTATGATTTTATTTATAATATAAAAACGTGGATAGAATTATTTTTCTGAGGCTTTTGTTTTATTTTCCTTAAGAGGAAAATAAGAATGAAAATAAGAAAGTTATTTTGGCATCACAAGATCTGTATTCTTTTCTGGCCCTTCAGAAACTCCAAAATTGCATTTCTGGCCATGGAGTAGACAAGAAACTTGGGGATTTAAGACACTAGTTCTCTCTTTGGTTATTCTGACACCTGACTTGTCTCTTCCTTCCACTACTTGCAAACCTTCTACCCTCTTTGCTGGATGATGCAAGTCTAACGAGATAATGTATATGGAAGCATCTGTAAGCTGGGAGGTGTTATGAATAAGCATGTATTATTATTATTATCATTGCTATTTTTTTGTGTGTTCACTGCTTTGCATTTTTCCACTGAACATCCCAGTAATTCACTTCTGCAATGTCAGATGATTATGACTTTCTCATTGGGGAAGCTACTTTTTTCCTGCACTTAAGAAAATTTGGTTCGCTGATGGAATGCCGTCTTAGGCAAAATGTTGCTCTCACCGGTCCTGCTCTCCTGGTCCTGACCAAGATTGTCGGGAAAGGAGGTGATGGGGAGGTTTATGAAGGGAGGAGAATCCGTCTATTTACATTGTGTGTAACTGCACGTCGCTTACTTTGCAAAAACTGATGCTTGGTTTTATAAATAACTTCATTTTTAAATGAGAGGCTGTTCTTGGTTGTGGCTAAGAGTACTGGCTCTGGAATTAAATTGCCGTGCTTCTTGTCCTGGTTCCCTCACTTCTAACTGGGTGAATATTGGCAAGTGTTTAACCTCCCTGTGCCTGTTTTCTAACCTGGGCAGGAAGGGTACCTTCGTGACGTGGTCGGGCGGTTGTGAAGCTTAAATGGAATGATGCCTCTAAAACCATCTGCACTCGAAGTAGATTAAAGAGGGAAATGAAAGGCTATGTGACGGGGTGAACTGTACCATCTCCCATGCTGTTTTAGGTTCTAATTAATGGAATTTGGTTGAGTTCGATGACGCATCTCTTGCGAGGAGGAGAAAGAGAGCGGGGAGGCACGGCGAGAGAGCGAAGGACAGGGTGGGCCGGGCTGTGGTCGCCCTTCGCATCAACAGACTCACGTGCTCTGTGGTGCCTGGCAGTTTACGGAGTCCTTTTACATACGTTTATTTCATTTAATCCTCACAACCAGCCCTGTTTTACAGATATGGGAAACTTATGGCTGAGACACTCAGTGACAGGCTCACAGACAAGTGGCCAGTGAGTGACACAGTGAGGTCAGAGAAGCTGGCCTCCTGGACTTGGGCAGTAATTTCCTTTCTCCCAATACCCTGGTCCCTCTCTGCTATTTAAAGATTCATATTCGTAATAACCCTGGTGCTGAATCCCAAAGGAGCAGAGTCATGTGCTGCCTCAGACCTGAGGGTTGTTGGGGGGGTCCCGGGGATCACCTGCAGCTGTTCAGGGCTGGCCTTGCTCCTGCTGTCGCTGGAAGGTTCTGCACGGCCCCTATGTCTTCGAGGCCTGAGTGAAGATTGGGTTTCGTCTCTGTGAAGGTCCCTTCCGAATGTTCTGTGGGAGAAACTGTCAGTGTTTCCTTTTTCCTGGAAAGGAAGGTAATGAGCACCTCCTGAGTGGTTGAACACGTAGGATACAAGGTTCATAGTAGGAATACGCTTTTAACTCTTTTTTGAGTCACTGTGTTGATAAACTTGAAGTTAGTAAAATTACTCATGTATGTAATCTAAATCTTAGTTTGTCTTAAGTAAGTCTTACAGTTGTAATTCAAGTGTACGCTTTTAAAATGCTGGTTGTTATATAATAGAGTTTGCTCCCTTTGTTTGGTTCTGACATTCAACACAATTTTAAGTTTGATTTTCTCCTTAACCTGGGTGTCCTGTTTGCATATTAAAAATTAAGTGATTGGAGGGGCTTGCCCCGTGGCCGAGTGGTTAAGTTCGCGCGCTCCGCTGCAGGCGGCCCAGTGTTTCGTTGGTTCGAATCCTGGGCGCGGACATGGCACTGCTCATCAGACCACGCTGAGGCAGCGTCCCACATGCCACAACTAGAAGAACCCACAACGAAGAATATACAACTATGTACCGGGGGACTTTGGGGAGAAAAAGGAAATAATACAATCTTAAAAAAAAAAAAAAAAAAAATCAAGTGATCGGAGCTGGCCCAGTGGCACATCAGTTAAGTTTGCAGGTTCCGATTTGGTGGCCCGGGGTCCACCGGTTCAGATCCCAGGTGCGGACCTACACACCGCTTGTCAAGCCATGCTGTGGCAGGCGTCCCACCCATAAAGTAGAGGAAGATGAGCAGGATGTTAGCTCAGGGCCAGTCTTCCTCAGCAAAAAGAGGAGGATTGGTGGCAGATGTTAGCTCAGGGCTAATCTTCCTTCAAAAAAAAAAAAAATCAAGTGATCAGAAAAAATTCAGTGTACTGCTTCAGATTTTAAAAATATTGAGAACAAATTTTAAAATTAGAAGAAATATTTCATGCATGTTAATGAGGAAAGATTGAATTTAGTATTACATTGGAATATATTATTTTTATGAAATCATTTTCTACTCTGAGAAATTTGTATATATGTTCATCAAATTTTTTATGCATTAAATTTTTGATTAGCTGTAATGTAACTTTTTTGTCTACGTGCATTTCATTTTTCAGCAAAGTGGTGGGTAACAGTGACTTAGTTTTTGAAGCTACATCTAGGCCAGGATTTCTCAACCTTGGTGCTATTGACACTTGAGTCTGGACAGCTCTTTGTTGTGGGGGGCTGTGTGTGTGTTGTAGGGGTTCAGCCGCATCCCTGGCTGCCACCCAGCAGACACCAGTAGTGTCTCCTTGTCTCAGTCTTGACAATCAAGATTGTCTCCAGACGTCGCCAGATGTCCCTGAGGGAGCAAAATCATCCCTAGGTGAGAACCATTGATCTGTGACTTTCAATATATTTTCAGATCGTCTACCTGACCTAAATCTATATTGTGCTATAACTTTGAATAGATGTTCAGCATCACACCAAAAAAGGAGAAAGTACTATATTTATAGAGGCAATAAATTATGCTTAACATTTATGAAAAAGATTTTTCTACAATATGGGTTGAGATGTTTTCTGATGAGCTGTCAGTTACCATAACAAATACAATTCCCCAGAATTCCAAACATTTGGAGGAATATTTTATGTCCTTATTTCCTTTCAAAATAGATATAGCCCCTTGATTTTGAATTAATTTATAACAATGACTTGATAGTGTTTCTTTTTTTAACTTCAAATAAATGTAAATAATAGTATGGTTTACCATATAGTAAATATTCTCTGTGATTAGAACGTTCTATACGTTCCTCATGCACATACTTAAAGATTTAATTGCCTTCGCAGATGGGCATGTGCCTCTGTGAAACAGTTGTGCAGGAGTTGCTGAAATTGGGTTTCAGAAGTCTCTTCATGGACTTTTTAGTGGAGGTTTTAGTGTAAGGAGGCAAATAGAGGCACCTGGTTATTAACTGCTGTAGGAATATAGACGTTTCTCTTGGCCCAGGAATTAAGTGACTGCTTTTTAAAATGTCTTTTGCTACCAATAGAATGTACTTTTACTCCTGTGAACCATGGGCTGAAGCATTAGCCAATCAGAGGAAGGAATTTACTGTATGGTAAAAGGAAGTATTTGTTCTGTTATTGTAGTACCTGGCCTGGTGCCATCTTTGATAAAGGATTGAAGTGCCGTGCACCCAAAGTCTGCTAGCCTCTTGACCCTTCATCGGTCATCAGCCAGCCTGTGGGTTAAGTGAACCTCAGTAGCTCAGCAGGACAGCTATTGTTTAAGCATTGTGCAACTCTTGGAAACGGAAATTTCTGACACTGCAGTCTTGCAATGTGATGTCTTTCTAGTTTTAAGATTATACACGTATGTTTCCTTTCTGCTGCTAATCTGTGCCAGATTAGAGGTATAAAATGATAATATATAAGACTTGAACCTGGGTTATTCAGATGGGTGGCCCTGAGACTTATTTTTAAAATAAGAACATATACAAAAATAAATGACCTATTATAGCACACAATTTCAAGAATTTCACATGGGATCCTACTGGAATTTTTATTGTCTTAAGACCTTCCAACTCTTGCATGCTTCTCCTCCACTATTAATGTGTTGATTACTGAAAGCAACTATTTCTCCACGTTTTCTAAGTAACTGATGGCACACACATATTCTTTCATCACATATATTTCTTTTCTGACTAGCTCAGGAAAACTTTCTAAGAGCTGTGTCCAGTATTCACAGTTTTATGTCATCTCATCTCTATATGTATGCCACATTCTTCAAGTACAGTAATGTGTCAGCTGCAGCTGTCGCTGACCAAAGCTGTCACAGAAGCGGGTGGAGGGAGCATCAGAGATGGTGTGTGCGGGTTCTGTGTATCAAGAGCATATCTGTTGCAATCAATCTGTCATGATAACAACTGGCTTGTAGAAGGCG